AACATTGAATATCAATTCTTTTATCCCACGAAACAAATTGTATATGGATCACTTTCTCAAATAATAGGAAATTCAACCTCGCGTTGTTTCGATTGTATCCAAAATTATTAAATTACATGAAACTAATATCACTTGTTAGAAACATAGTTTTGATGTGTAAGGTAACGGAAGTGACCACTACTGTAAACTTCCGAATATTTAAAATCAATTGAGACACTTGGATAGAATTTGAGTTAAATNAACATTGAATATCAATTCTTTTATCCCACGAAACAAATTGTATATGGATCACTTTCTCAAATAATAGGAAATTCAACCTCGCGTTGTTTCGATTGTATCCAAAATTATTAAATTACATGAAACTAATATCACTTGTTAGAAACATAGTTTTGATGTGTAAGGTAACGGAAGTGACCACTACTGTAAACTTCCGAATATTTAAAATCAATTGAGACACTTGGATAGAATTTGAGTTAAATATATCTTCAGAAAACACATTCTTTTTTAAACTCGGGATTTTATTGGATATGTAAAATCATATTTTGTGTTGTAGTAAGGATTCTTAAATTAGAATCACATTTCAAGGCAACTGATACATAACTTCGGTGCGTACTTCATTTATTTTAAAAGAAAATGTAATTACGTAATGTTTGTTATAATTATATTAAAGCGGAACTTATTTTGAAACATAGATCACAACAGACTCGACTTGATTCATACAGACTCGATTAATACTACAAAAATACATGTATGTACGTTCCGATTATAGTACTTTATAATAGCACCAACATGGGAAAAATTTGTGCACATAGATTCTTTGATTTGAATGACACTAGTAAGAACCGAAAAAGGTGTTAGGTTCGTTAGGTTGCTACATAAATCATAGAGGACACTTTTGCTGGTATTGTAGTGAACTGTTATATAGTTAGCACCTATATGAATATCCTTATTTTAGAATGTGAAGCAATAGCAGATTACACACAACTCAGATTAATTTCATTTAACAACGAAAATTATTCACACATGTTCTTTTGAATATATATGTGTTTTCTTCTAATCCAAAAATATATAAAACTTTCTAGGAACTTTAGTTTATGAAGATCGACTGAAGATGGTGCATGCGCCGCTTTTGCAATAGAAACCCTCTAATCTCTATGTACTGTATATATATATGAAATGAAAACAGTATCTGTGTTCTAGTTTATCATCGGCGGAAGTTCCCAGTATCAAATACAAATTTTCTCTGAGGTGATTAAAACAAAAATCCTGGTTAGTTTGATATTATATCTGAATTAGAAACGACCATAAGTTTAAGTACACTTTCTTCAGTTTGCTTTAAATTTTTTACACAAGTAAGTGTGGCACATTTTTGTTTGCGTTGGGAACATGATACAGATCAGTTCACTCTTTTAGATTTCGGACGGATGTACAAATCGTATAAATAACGTGTTCAGTTTCCTGTTTGTATCTACAAAACAGAAGTTTAGTTTTATTTTAAATATGGGACTTAACCCGTTGAGATGGAAAACCAGAAACGTGTTGTATTCAGCATTGATGTTGTTTGTTTTTTATATACTATTCATATATAAGAAAAAGTCTCAAGTAATTTTTGAAGGCATTATACAGAACTCAAATCCAATTCATGTTTGGGAATATGTAGCTGATTTTAGCAACATGAAGAAATTAAATCCAACAATGTGTGTGAAGGCAATATATAATTATTGATAATTATTTGCATTTGTTTCTCATTACTTAACAAAAGTATTTTTAACTTTAGAGAAGAGTTTAATGTAATCGCAGAAAGTGGTAATTACGATCATTGGAAATATTCGGTCGAATATACCGAACGTTTAAGTCACATACCAATTATTCGAAATGTCGCGCAAGGACATTATGCCGTACGACAAGATAATCATGGTTATTTAATCACTTCGAAACATCATACATGCTTTTTCCCTAAATTGGGATGCTGTAAGTTCAATTTTTTAGATTTCAAACTTGATAACAACGAATTGATCAGACTTTTAAATCGTAAATTTAAAATTCTGATTCATGTTTCAGTGGAATCGATCTCGCAATTCAGATTCGATAGAGATGGAGCTAATGATACGAAATGTATCGAAACAGTGCAATATGAGTGTCCGATCGTATTTTCGGAACTGTGTTACAGAGAAGTGATGTATCAACGAGAGGAAATTATAAAAAGATTAAAAGCAGAATTTTCCGTGGCTGACATTCAGAATTAATAATATTTTATCAACTATATTTACATATATATGTACACATTATTAATGGTTCCGATATAATTTTAGTATACATGCATTTATATGTTTTATATTGTATATTATTGTGATACAATGTTATAATAAATATATTATTCTAACAAGTACTTATACGAGATATTATTTTAAATTTATTATCAAGTATATAGTGTTTATAATTGATATCCATATAGTATATCAAGTAAATAGAGTAACTAGGAAGAAACATATACTTGTTATATTTTGCATCTAGTTCTTATTTAATCTTTCGATTTTAATCTCTTATTATTTCTAGTTTTATTTTTAGTTTTCAGAGAAAAATATGAAATTTATTCCGATTTTCCTTTGTTTATATACATACCCAGTCGGCCAAATATGTAAAACATTTGGTAGTATATTTTTGGCAAGAAAATTTATGTCAATGTGGTGCTTTTGGTTCGCATTTGATATGTATTTATAAACAAATGACTCGGTATTTAGGAGCAGACGCTCAATGGCAATTTTGGCGCAATCTTGTAGCGAAACGTTCCATTTGAAGAGGGCAGGTCGGTAGCACTCGTGTGGCAGATGTGGCAGTGCTATGAAAGTTGGTCTGGATTTGACCTGTATTTGGCATGGACAAGACGTTGGTGCCAAATCCGGTGTGAATGCGGAAACGGATGGCTCGATATTTGATATAACGTCGTACAATCAGATTCATGTCAAATTCAAGACAAATTGCTTGCTGGGTACATACTCATTTCCAAAAACTGTTTTATGTTCAATAAGTATCGATAATGTTGGCACCCTATATACATAATTACAGTTCCTGTTGTTAGTATGGCCAACATTTGAATGTAAAATTTCTGATGACAAAGTGACAAAAAAGAAAGTGGTGGGGAGATCAACAATTTATCGAAAACATTCATATGAGAGAACGTGAGAATAGGGAACAGAGAACCAGAAGCGTTTATATTTTTATTTGTATTTATTGAAATATATACCGTTTATAGTATTTACTTAATATTCTGTATACAATTATATCACAGCCCGAAACATGTCCAATAAATTCGAGGCGTAAGTGCAACTAGCGTTCTCCTTATTTCATCGTGCCTTTTTCTGTGGGCTAGATAGAGGTTAGATGTGTTTTAAATGGACAATGACTTTGATCAGTATAATTGCCATATATTACACTTCACATTCATTTAAGCTAGCAATTTAACATTAATTAATAGTGTTAGTAGCGTATTTCTCAAAAAATTCTGCAGAACGAAACATGGGATATGCAATTGTATTTGTCAAACATCAAGTGTTCTACGTTTGTATTGTAATTCGTATTCTTACTTTTACATTTTTGTTAATTGTTTCAAAATAATTGACTGACACATGAGTGTGAGAATAACATCTTTCGTTCTGAAAGCAATTACTCAAACGCAATCTGGTAAAAATGTTTACTAAAAGTATAAAACAAATAAACGAGCTGTTAGAAATAAATTAATTTGTTTTGTAAAGTTGTTCAGAAAAATCCATATTAATTGCCGCAGGTACATTAAAACGTGTTATATAAATGATAGTAGTACTTGCAGGTTAAAGACTAATGAACAAAGTGGAGATGATCAAACACAGTCAAAAGATAATCAAAAATCTGAGAAAGATCCACTAGTAAGTAAAAATGACCTCTTTGTTTATTAAATACCTTTAGATGTTAATAAAATTTACATTAAAAAGTGCATACTTATTGTAGCCTCGTATAGACATTAATCCAAATGAGCACAAATTACAATATGCGTATGCATTATGGTATAGTCAACGCAGTCCTGGTAAACAGTCAAGCATACAAAGTTACGACCAAAATTTAAAATTGGTTGGCAGGTTTGCGAGTGTGGAACAATTTTGGAGTCTTTATAGTCATTTAGTCCGGCCATGGGAATTGACAGCACCCACAAATTTTCATCTTTTCAAAGTTGGAATAAAACCAATGTGGGAAGTACGTATATTCTAATATGTACTACATATGATATATCCATATATCAAAAATGACTATAAACTATCTATTCAGAATACTATACTTATAGTGTTTTTTCAAAAGAAGAAATCTGAGGCATTCTGATTTGTCTTTTGTCACTGCCAAGCCACGATATCTGTCCACATCATTTTGAAATGATTAAACATTCAAATGTTATTAGTTTGAAGCAATTACAATGGGATAAATAGCTATTATAAAATAGCATGCATCAAGTCTCTTCTTTAAAATTTCTATTTCTTATGATAATGTACCCCTTGTTTCAGGATGAAGCAAATCAGAAAGGAGGTAAATGGGTAGTAAGATTAAAAAAAGGTTTAGCATCTAGATGTTGGGAAAATTTGATATTAGCTATGTTAGGAGAGCAATTTATGGTTGGAGAAGAAATTTGTGGAGCTGTGGTATCTATAAGATATCAAGTAAGTTGAATTTTGGTGCATTCAAGAAAGATCTCTATCCTTGGAAAATCGTTAACCATCCTTGATTATTCTTTACAGGAAGACATAATATGTGTATGGAATAGAACTGCATCTGATTATGCAACCACGGCACGTATTAGAGACACATTGAGGAGAGTATTACATCTTCCAGCTAATGCCTCTATGGAGTACAAAACCCACAATGAAAGTTTAAAAAATGTTCATCGGCTTTAATATTGTCTGATGCTAACACCGTTTGAGTTTTTCATGATGGATCCTGAGGTAAATTAGTGAATTAATTATCTGTAAACATATTGATGTATATTACGTGATGTGTTACATACTGTTTGTATGATTCTTTATTTAGCCAATTGGTACTTGT